AGAGAGAGAGAGAGAGAGAGAGAGAGAGAGAGAGAGAGAGAGAGAGAGAGAGAGAGAGAGAGAGAGAGAGAGAGAGAGAGAGAGAGACAGTTTTTGAAAATGATCGTTTTTTTTTTTTTTTTTTTTTTTTTTTTCTTCCCCCTCCATGCATTGAAAGAGCCAAGGACGTTCCCTTTTTTAATCAGTGCAGTGAAAGAAGCCGGTTTTCTTTTTCTGTTTCTTATTTTACCCTTTGTTGCAATTCGCTGGCCAAAATGCACCTCCTCAGCCTTAGACCTCTGCTACGCTCCCGGATTGGCACAATCGTGGTCGAGATTAGTGTCCCCAATCTCATTCATGTTCTACTTTGGCAGGACTTCGCCATTCAATCCCTTCCTGCAGCAGGTATACATCTGCAGTTTGAGCACTGCAAATCTGGAAGAATCAGAACTCTACTGCCTAGAGGGGTGCTCAACTACAACCATACTGATCAGAAACACAGGGAAGCAGTTCTGAACAACTTGCTGGCTGAAGATCACAGGCATCTCAGCAATGGGATTCCACTGCCAAAATACAGCTACGAAAGGATTCAGAAGATTTACCAAAAGCTCACAACACAATCAACTCCTAAACGAACTCCCTATTTGATCAACACTGGCCCTTGGTATGATCACTTACTCTCCTTTAGACGGCAGATGTGGCGGAGCAAATCATCAAACTGGACAATAAAGAAAGGAAATACACAATCAACCTCAAGACCGAAACATCGTGTGAACCAAACACTTGGGATTACGTCCATGCACTCTTGGAAATCACCTACTCGCGGCACCTTCAGTATCACCACATACCGTTTGACGAGTACAAGGGGATGATTGTACGACGGATTGCCACTCAACAGTTATGACACCAGCAGAACAGGGCTCCTGGCCCCTCTTCCGCACCCCCCTTCCCTGGGCCCCTGGCCCCTCTTCCGCACCCCCCTTCCCTGACCTCACCCCTCTGAATGCCATGCAACTTCTTCTCCTTCGCGAGCGAAGCCGCAACAGGTCATCTAGTGCCGATAATAGCAGAAAGAATCAAAAGAGATCGCCAACCAGACGAAGGCGGAGAACGAAATGAGTGACGGCAGACCCACCCAAGAGCTCATCATCAGCGGAATGCTTCCCGATTTTGGCATGCTCGTCAACAACGGCTGAATCGACAAGGGTAAAGCATGTTTACCGCTTGGAGCCAGCATGGCAAGCCCAATCAGCACCATCACAGGGTAAATCGGGGAATACGCGAGAGCGGGAGCGCTCCGGATTGGGGAGTATGGGCCACGAGCCGTGGTACTGGCTGAAGGGGAGGGGCAAAAGGGACGTTTCACCGTCCCTGTCGGCCTCTCTCCCCTGAAAGGACCCAGCTTCGGTCTTCCGGCGATAGGAGGCGGAAGCATAAGTAGTTGGGCATCGGAAGATCCTCTGCAAACCTCTGAAATAGGCGACTTAGATAGCATTGAGAGTTCGGAAGACAAACAGGACGAGCGTGCAGAAACGTAAGGACAGAAAGAGGAGGAAGCGGGCGAGGGCACAAACGAAAAGGAGCAAGAGACGGAACAACGTAGTTCGGGAGAACCCTCGGATGACACCGCTCCGACGGAATCGGAGCAGACCGGTGGGCATACCAAGGGAGACTTGTCGCAATTGGCAAGAGGCGACCAGCCTCAACAAGACCCGCTACATCCGATAATGGAGTTGGCAATGCAGGAGCGAGTAGAGACCAGATTGAAAGACATCATGCAAGCGGGGGAATGTCAATCGTGCTGTGGTGGGCGCTGGAAGGAATCGATCTGTTAATAGAAGGGGTGGCGAGCATACCAACCTTTATCGTGGACAAATTACCGCAGGAGCAGCAAGTGCTCAAACAAGTGGCGGAGTGGGTGGGTTCGAAATACCTGGTGGTATAGTTGCCTCGGATTTCAGCCGCTAGGTTCGTCAGAAAGACAGTGGAGAGACAAAAATATGTGGTGATAATCTTCTTTGTGGGAGCGATACCTACAAGGCCAGGAGTCCCAAGGCTGAAGGACAAAACTATGCAATGGACGAAGTTTGCAGAGGCGTTCGGAAGCACGGCCCACTCTCAAGACTTCCATGCAGTACACACCACTACCTTGGCCATACTCAACAGCGTCAATGCAAGGTTGTCGCAGGAGGAGCGAGTAGGCGGTGTATGGTTTCAGCAGGGGGTGGGGGCATGGGAGAGGGGGGAGTGAGGGATAATTATCCTGCAGGGGTGTCACGTGCAAGGTGACCCCCCCCGCCCCCCAGCAATAAAAATTAGACAGAATAGGAAATGAGGAAGGTAAATATAGGACCAAAACACAGGTTGGGCCGTAGGAGAACTGGGTAGAAGGGACAATAGGAAGGGGTAGCAGAAGGAAGGGTGGAGAACCAGAAGCCGGAATGGGACTGCAAAGGGAAAGCAACCGGCTGAAACTGATGACATGGAATGTGAGAGGGATGGGAGCCACGGCACTTTTGCCTAAGCGGAGGGAGCTGGTGAAGAAAGTGAGAGCGAAGCAAATTGACGTGGTATGCCTGCAAGAGATCAAGCTGAACGAAGCACGAACGCAGGCACCAATGCTGTGGTGGAAGGGGTACGAAGTGTGGGCCCCAGCGGAGGGAGCGAGAGGAGTGTGTATCTTGGTATCCCTTCACTTCAGGGGGGAAATGACAGATGGGTATTTATTCCAAGTGCAGGTGGGCATGGGTTATACTCAGCTTGGGGGAGGAAACGTGGGGAGTCGTCACAATTTATGGACCGTCCGAGGGAGGGGAGCGCAGACGGATCTGGCGACTGCGGGCACTGGTGCCAGATGTGGGTAAGATCGTCATTGCAAACAACTTCAATTCGGTAGTGGATCCAAGGCTTGATGCGGCAAATGCAGGCGTATGAATGCGGACTCACACGCACTGATGCATGGAATGACAGGCCTTGGCTGCACCGATTCCTATAGGGGCATGCACCTGCAAGAGAAGGCATACACTTTCTGGGGAAATGCAGTGACTGTGAGGAGCAGAATAGACATGATATGGGCTTCGGCGTGTCTCAACGAAAGAATTGAACAGGTACATATCAGCCCAATGGCTACTTCGGAGCACTATGCGGTGAAGGCAACCTTTCCCGTAGGGAGAATGGAGATGGGCCAACCCCCCAGGTCGATCCCGGCATGGGTATTCAAGAGTGATGAATTCTGGCCGATGGTGCTGCGCTTTTGGACCATATAATGACGGCAACACAGAACCTTAGAGCAAACTTGGCCAGGCAATTGTGGGGCAGGTACCTCGCACACCGGAGAACGGGGGAGGAGTACACCCACAGGATGGAAGAGCTCGATGCCGGCCCCGGAAGGGAGCAAACGGAAGAGGAATGGTGGGCGGAGCGCGCAAGGCGGTTCGAGAGCGGAGGGAATGGCAAGGGGAAGACACAGTCAAATGGGGCAGGTGTACGAAGGAGACCTGGATATCGGAGCGAATGTCTCGGAAATTCTTCGGTACACTGGCCATGTGGAAAGCAATGCCGGCAATGCCGGCAATGGATCATCCCTTCGATAGTCAGAAGGAGAGGCAGCACACTACGCGGGGTATCTTAAAATATGTTATGGGTTTCTATAGCCAACTGTTGACGGAGGAAGAGCAGTGGACATCAGCAGACATGGCTAGGGAGCCGGAGCAACAAATCTGGAAGCATCTCCAAAGGCGGCTGGACTTTGAAATATATGCAAATTGGAGGCGGATCTCCCCAGACTCAAGGCGGCCGGGTTGGACGGTATTCCGGTGGAGCTGTACAAAAACCTTTGCAATTTCTTTGCGACCCTACCGACAACGGCATATAATGAAGCATTGAGACAAGGCTCATTCCCGCGGGGCTTCGCAGACACATGTATAATCCTGCTTTACAAGAAAGGACCTAAGGAGGACGTACGTAACTGGAGGCCAATATCCATCCTCAACGCGCTATACAAGATCTTGGCCAAGGTGTTGGCAACCCACCTGAAGGTGACCCTACCGCACATCATAGATCACACCGAAACAGGCTTTGTGGCGGGTCGACAGATTCTGCCGAACGTACTGCTGGCCCAACAAATTCTGGAAGAAGACCAGTGCACAGGCCAGGCTATGGCTTTCGTATCCATAGATCTTGAAAAAGCCTACGACAGGGTACAGTGGGTATTTCTATTACAAGGAATGGCACGGTGGGGAATGGGCGGAATTTTCTGCGGATCAGGGCTGCACCGGCCACCGGCCGGTTGGACCGGACCGGACCGGACCGGAATTCCGGTTGGGCCCAAAACCGGGTCGATTTTTTTTTATTTTTTTTGATGGGGTTGGACTGCGCTTGTCGAGATCTCCCGAATCCGCAGAGAAAATATGAAAGTGCGAATTTTTTTTTCACGGGTTTTGGGGGGGGGGCGGAGGGGGGAGGTCTGGGTTTTCTGGGGGTGTTAGTGGGGTGGTTGCAGCGTACCTGTCCTCCTGCCAACACTGACCGATGCATACCTGCAGCGGCACAAAACATGAAGGATCTTCAAGGAAGCCATACCACACAAGGCTACAGAACAAGGAGGAGAAGAAGACGAAGACGAAGAAGAAGAAGAAGAAGAAGAAAAAGTGGTAGAAGAAGAAGACATATAAAAAGAAGTTATGCAGCACCGAACTTGCTCTGGGGAGTTTGGGATCACCATTCCTGTTCATAAAATGAATCTCTCTCTCTCTCTCTCTCTCTCTCTCTCTCTCTCTCACACACACACACACACACACACACAAACACACACAAACACACAACTGTCCCTTGATCCCTTAATCGGAGTGGCATGGGCTCATCCCCCCATCAAGTGACCGCCAGGGACTGTCATCACTGTCCGGGTCATCGTCACTAATGACACGCTTCTTGCGAGCATTAGTGTTGCGGCGCCCGTGCTGCAACGCAGTCTTGTCCACTGCCTTTTTTTTTCTGGGCCTTCCACGGCCACGTCGGGGCRCTTCGGGGRACTCCGCTGTTGCCTTCCTCTTCCTGCCTGCCCTGCTCTTCCAGAGGTTGTCATGGTGGAGAGCATCGTTGAATTCAGGGAAAGGGGGCGTGCCGATGTCCTCTGCGGCCTGCTGCTCTTCCAGCTGCTCCTTCCCCCTCTCGCCAATTGCAACCTGCTGGTCGGTGGTCTCTCCCTCCACTCCGACTTGTTGCTCCACGCATGGGCGGAGCCTGCGCGTGTACACGACAACTGGTGCTTGCTGTTCTTCCGCTGCGTGTGCAGGCTCCCCTTGCTGCTGCTCGCCCTTCTCCACGGCAGGCTGGACATCCCCGTCCATTTCCTTCAGGGCCTCGCCCCCACGCTTTTCCTGCTGTGCAGCATTCCTCTCCCTCTCCCTGCGTGTAGGGATCGCTGCACGACGGGCCTCCTCCTCAGCGACCCGCCTCTCCACAAGTTCACGATCCCTGTCCGCCATCTCCTTCGCTCGGGTGGCCTCTTCCTCGTCCGGGTCATCGTGGCGGTGCAGCAAAAACTCTACGTCGGTGTCCACTCTCTCGACGACCGACGTAGGCTCAAGCTCGAGCTCCCTGTCCTGTGGCCTGGTTCGCCTGCCGAGATACGTGGTCGCCGAGACTGCAGGCACCACACCGAGCTCGAAATCGGAGTCCTCGTCCTCGCTGCAGTCCTCCGATGATGACTCATTCCAGCACTTCCCCTTCCACACCATATCCTCGAGGTCGCTGCTGTCACTAGTGTCGGAATCGAGAAGGTTTTGGGGGATCCTGTTTTTTGGAGCCTTCGCCATGTTTCTTTGCCTCATCTCCTCATCCTCTTTTTCAGCAGCATCCTGAGTGCCAGTCGCCAGCGTGGACCCGTCATTCTGTTCTGGCTCCATGATTGGCTCGAAGAACAAACCCCAGACATCAGCGAACCCGCTATCCTTGTGGTGTCGAGCTCGCAGCAACTGCATGTTCCAATGTATGTACACGAGTTTCTCGAGGGATGTTGGGGACGAACTGTTTCGTCTCTTCGTGTGGAGAAAGTCGATGGAGGCCCAGTTGCGCTCAGCGGGGGTCGCAGTGCTCCACATCCCCATAACCTTGATTGCAATTCCCTGAAGTGTTGGTACATCCCCGCCATGTGCTGCCCACCAGGTCGCAGGGTTAAGCCTCCTCACATCGTCCACCGCCGGTTGTTTCCACATGTGCTCATCCTTGCGCTTCTTCATAGCTTTCCCGGGCTCCGCGCACACTTGTGCAATCAGACTCGTTTTCAAACACACTTTTCACACATGTAAACAGTACGCAGCACACTGGCGACATGCGCCCACTCAAAACTCAGAGATATGGCTTCAGATACGAGTTCACTCTCAAATGGCTATGGCGACTTCAGCGCCCAAACATCTCACTGTTCACATGCACTGGATCACCCTGGAT